TTGTCAGTATTTCAAACTTTTATTATTATGAACAGATATCAAAGTCAGAAAACAACAGAAATATTTCTGTCAGTGCTCAGTGGCTTTTACTACTAATGCTTTTGAACATGAAATTTTAAAATGCAATAGACTAGTCCAATAGTTAGGCAGGCCTTCATAGTTTACATGTGTGACATACAGTTTACATTCCTCGTATTATGGCATGAAGTAATGTAAAATTGTTTCAAAATATATTTTAAAAACTCTTAAAGTATTAAAAATATGAGATCAAAGTGATATTAAAACAAAGACAGTGGGCTAGGTTTTGTTCAGATCAATATGGTTTTGTAAAAATGCTTTATTTTATTGAAACAACTTTTTCAGACAAAACTAATGAAAAGTATCCTGTATATTACACAATTTATATTACATGTTTGTTATTTGTATATAGAGGTATAAATATATAAATATATATGTATACATATATATGTATACATATAAAGATTTATCAAAAGTGTATGTGTGCGATTACTGCAGCTGTCAAGTATTGAAATACAGCAGAAGTGAACCTCTCACAATACATCTACGCTAGCAAGTTGAGACCAATGGGGCCAAATCTGTAGGATGTGCTACCTGCTGTAGGTGCATTTCAGGGACAAGCTTCCTCTACCTTTGGCAAGCTCCAGTCTGGTACTGTGAACACTGATTAGCAATTACGATGCTTTTTCCAGTTTAGTTTCATCAAAGAGAAAAAAAATCCAGCTTGGATGAATTCTGCCGTCTCACTTGCAGCTCCAACTAACACTTACCAAATCCACCAGTTTTGTCTTTGTTAGCTTGGCATGTTCCTCTCCTGCCCCTGCAAAGGCTGGGCATGTGTTGAACCCGTCCTTCTTGTGAAGATGTGATGAGCATCCTGGGGATTTGTCATTATTCTTTTTCCTGGTACCTTCAAATGACAGCCATTGTCTGACTCCCTCAGTTTCACCACTGATCTGTTCCTTCAGGGTAACCAGACTTGTGAGCCACTAATACAAACTTTGGGAAATGAAGGTCATGAAAACATAAAAGGGCAACTAGCACTCCCCTTCATCTCTCTCCTGCAACAGCAAAAAACCAAAAGAAGCAAGTTCTGGAAAATGTGATTTGTGGAGAAGGTATGGTTACCCTAATTCCTTACCAGTGTTTCCTTTCAGGTTTTACTTGATTTCACGTTTTGACTCCCACTTTTTCCAGAGCATTCTTCTAGGGTGGCTCCAGGGGACGGGAAGTTTCACAGCAACACTGAAGTTATAATTGTAGAGATCCACTGACAGGCATCATCTAGGTATTAATGTGGTATTTTCCACATTACTGTTCTGAAAATTTTGATGTGGCCTCAAATCCCATAATACGCATAGCTCCCTGCTGAGCTGTATGATCTAACTAGTTACCACATCACTACAGTAAAATTCCTTCCAGGAATTTTCCTCCCACAATCAGGACATCTTTGGCTTGTCACGGAGATTTCATGGAGGTTTAAGATACCAATTTTTGAAGGTTTTACTCGTAATTACAGTAGAATTTTCTTTCTAAGTGATAGTTTTCTTGTTCAAGAGAAGGAAAGATGACTGAGGAGGATGTGCCTTTTCAGTGGTGAGGGTGAGCTTTGGGACCTGCTTCACAGCTAAGTGAGAGTACTTAGAAAGACTTACAAGACAAAATGGATGCCAGGGTTTTAATGATAGTACTTTTAAATCAGCAATTGCAAGCCAATAAACCGTCTGACTGCTGGTAATCTTACCACTACTGACTGAGAAGAAAGGTGTCCAGCAGAACACAGAAGACTCATTTTGAGTCCTTTTGTCTCTCTTGATCTCCTGATGGGGACACCCGTTCAGCAACTTGCTAAGAGTTCAGCAACTTGGATAAGAAATTTGAACAGAAGTGCACAGCATGTACATGGAGAACTCTTGGGCCTTCGTGAGCAGACTACAAGAACATGATGGTCTGAGCAGCAGGCTGTAGGAAGGTACAGTAAAAAGTGAACCACTCTATGGACCAGACCCAGCCACGGGTTGCCAGTTGGACCATCCTGCTCCACCAACACCAGAGTGCTAAATCCACCCTTCTCAAGAGTGGTTAGAGTGAGTCAGTGTTTGCAGAACGTAAGCTACGTGTATATTCATGTTGCTATGCAAGTTCTAGTGTGTTAAGAAAACTGACAACAAGCTGCAGTTAATCCCCTAAATGAAAGAGCCAAGACCGCAGTAGACAAAACTGTGGATGAGACCAATACTTAGAAAAGTGAATTGTGGCAAGGGAGTAAGTTAGCTGGGCTGTGAAGACTACGGCTTACCTGTAGAAAGCTGTAGGATCTCAAAAGAAATACGCAAAAAATGCTTCTTTGTAATGAGTGGTTGAGGAAGACTTTGGACCATAGCATAAGGTCACGGGAAAGGAAGTGAAGAGGCCATGAGAGAGAGATTAAGTAGAGAATTTACTTAACAAGGGATCTCACCTCTACAGGTGCATCTGTTCCAGGCACAGGAAACTTGAAACTATGTGCTAAAGGTCCTGGGCCATGAAAAAAGACAAATCTACATGGATGCAGCAGGCCACCAATTAAACAGAAGGAAACCTAACTATTTGGAACAAAACAGCAGTAACAGCAAACATGTTTTGAGATGTATAGATACTGCAAGCATATAAAGTTATATATTTGACCAGCTACTGCATATTTAGTCTGATACTGTTTTCCACTGCTTTAAGAAAAGTAAGTTGAAATACGCACAAAATTACGCTGTCAGCATACAAAGGGATGATGGTTTCCATGAGGCGTATTCCAGCATCGAGCACATACACTTCTAAATTAATGAACTAAAAGTTTTGTGCCTTTTATCTGTGATGTCCCTAACACAGGAGGATTTGTGACTATATATGGACGTGTAGAGAAGAGATTGCAACTGACATTTTGAGCAAAAACAAACAGAGAAAAGATAGGCGTGACTGATTGTTCCAATAAACATCAATTTTGCAACGCGTATGCAAGTCTGAACTCTCTCCAGTTTTCAGCTAAAACTATCCCACTCAAAAGCTTTTTTAGTTCTGAATTGCTGATTTCTTTTTTACATCACTGTCACTGTTTAACAATTAAATGGGACCTCCTAGAAGAAAAAAGGTCAGACATCTTTTTGTAATGAATCCAAATTACAAATATTTTATTGGTAATTTAGTATGTTTACACTGTCTGAACCACAGAAGTTGCTATTTTAAGTGACCACAGAAAATGAAATATAGAATTATTTTACACAGCTATACAGAACAATTAAAAAAAATCCTTTTAACATTATTTCAGTACATACAACATTCACTTGCTAAGCCAACCGTGTGTTGATTAAGAGCTGTTTTGGACACTGAAATGCCACAGCTCACAGCAGATGCTCCATAACCATCAAATTTTGCATTTGATTCTCTGAGGTGCAGTACCAGTGTATCATCACTTCAGTCCACCCAGTCTGAAATGCCCTCTCTTAAGCCTGAGCGAGCTGTGTGCAGGCAGAATTCAGAGCAGCTGGGAAGTAAAATCTAGCTACTACCTGAAGGCCAAGACACAGAGATGTGATGTAGTTTCTTACAAGTTTATTTTTTTCATCTCAAGCCATTCTGTGTCAACTCCTCAGGCCATTGGGACAGATGACTCTTACTCTGTCACACCACTCTGGGCAAGCACGTCAAACTCCTATAAAGATGCACGTGCCTCTGCAGTTGTTCTGCTACCTGTGACCCCCTGTTTGAGGCTTAGAGAGCCTTAGACTGGCCGTTTTACCCCACGAGCTGGTTTTACCCTCTTTTCCTAACTTTCCTAAACAACTCCTTTGTCAAAAAAAAAAAAAAAAAGAGTATTTAGCTTTTTTTATTCAAGGTAGCAAATATCAGCTAGGTTTTTTAAAGAGCTGTTGCTGTGCCCTAATACTGCTCCAACCGAATCGAATGACTGAACATTCGTTGGTTTCAGTGGATGGAGGAATAGACTTGTACTGAGGACTTTAGAAAATGCCTGTCTTCAGTATTAAGAGATTTAATTTTAGCTAGAACACAGATGCACTGGAGCTCTCCTGTGTATTCTTTGAACTGTATGAGAGCAGATGTTTGGAAAATTTTTATTACAGGAAATGAGAGCTTCAGTAAAAATACTGCTTTGAAAAATACTGCAAAAAAGACAAAAAGTGTACTAATGCGTATACATTAACTCAGAAAAGTGGGCAGTACATATGGTCTTTATTTGCAAAACCTCAATGTCTGACTTAGCAGGACTCGTCTTAACAAAGAATTAATCAAGGAAAAAATGAAAAATGTTACACGTTTGCCAATACAACTGCTACATTTTAAATAAAAATAACAATAATGTACATGTACAATATTATAATGATATAACTTGATGAAAATAACACTGATCAGTATCAAACTTAGGATCTAATCGATTATCCATCCTTAACAGATGAAACGCATTTCACAGAAATAGATGCAGGCAGGGTGAAGTGAAGCGATATTCACAGCTTACCGTGAGAAAGTTACCATGAAAGTTAAAGTAAAAATGTAAAGAACAAAACTTTAAATAGATTTATATTTATAAAAGTTCAGCATTATAGCAGTTGGGTGCATGTGCTGCTTTAAGATGGTAACAGCAACCTAATGGTAGACAACATACACACTTGCACACATACTCACACACACAAACACACACGTGCCCATGCTCAAATGCATGTGCATAGGTCCTCAGCTTGATTATGCAAGCATACACTTACTAGCTTTTGATGGGGCAACACCAGGAATGGGGTTCACCTCTCCTGTTTTTAGTGGTCTGCAAGGTAGTTGTAGCTACCCGAAGTCAGATGAGAGGAAACCCATCTAAGGCAACATCAGCTGAACATTTTAATGAAAACTGTTTTCATCCTGAGCATATTTAAGGAGGTTTATTAAAAAAATCTGAAGTTAATAAAGACTGGAAAAAAAGGTAAAAATCCTTACATGTGTAATTTGGAAATAAAAAAAGAATTCCTGAGTTTTGATAAATACTTTTATTATAATATAATACCATGCCTATTGAAAACATGTCTTTTATAAAAGCATGTTATACGACATTTTTTCTTGAAAAACTCGTGCCTTAGTGCACGAAATATGTTAGTAAGTCTCTGGGGACATCTGTAACACATTAATAGGAAATGAAAAGCCAAAGAATGACCTGTCATGTATGTACAAAACGTGCACTGCTCCCGGCAACGCACATCATGTTTACTACAGGCATCTTTATCTTTCTGTTTTCTCACAGGGTCCTGCCCATATTTTAATACTTTATAATTAATTACGCTTCACTAAACTATTTACAGAAGCAGAAACTAATCACACATCTTCTTAAGCCCATAAATATGGAACTACAGAACTATAACATTTTAAAACAGTATGAAGACGAGTGTGCTACATAGTACTGTTCTCTAGAAGTACAGTTCGTGAATTATTTTCTTTATGAAGATTTAAACCTAAATTAAAATAGAAGTTCAAATTCTCCCTCTGTTTTCCTAGGTTACATTTTTTCTACCTGCTATTTCTAAAGGATTTTGCCCCAAGAGAGTATTTGGATTGCAAAACCAGTTGTAAATTGTCGCAAAAGTATCTCTAGTAAAGAACCCTCAGGCTCTTGAATGCCCACTGTTTGCATGGGATACAATCAATTTGTTTTCAGTTAAAAATAGCTGGTTTCCAATACTAGCTATTGTTTTTATGGTTCTAGTAGTATTAATTTTTGCTTTTGGTGTGTTTTTCTCTCCTTCGCTGTCGTTAAACACGAATAACATGGAAACAGTGAAATGGACCATACCCAAAGTGCTGCCAAATGCACTGAACACACAAAGTGGTTACAAAATGGTATTTATAGAGGCCTAGAAGGTCGCTTCTAACAACAGTAGGTAAAACCAATCGTCAGAGTGAAATGCACTTTTGACTTGACTGCATCCTTTAATATTTTCATTAGCTAACTCTATAATACCCCTGATAAAAATTCTACTTTTTTACATTTAAACTTCTATTACAAAGTATTTCACGTTTTATTAAAAAAAAAAAAAAACACAATAGTGATGGTGGTTAATCTCCTTTATAAAAGATAATACATTGAGTTATATCTAATGGCTTTGATCCAATTAACATTATATTATACTGCTTAGTAATTACTGTGACTTCAGTTCCTGCAACTGTTATAGCGAATACAAATGATCGTTTAATGTACAGGAAGTGGGGATCATTTGGAAGTGCTGATTCAGAAGTATTCAAGTGCTAACAACGACTTGTTCTTTCTATGCTTTTCTTCATATGACAATCTTAAAAACGTCCATGATTTTGAACGTGACACAGTTTTGGGGCAATTATTTTTTCTATAACCTTTTATGTGCAAACACAAAACTAGATTTTTCTAAACGTTACCATCTTGTTAAAAGTAATTGCCACTTTTACTTAAAAAGGCACCAGCATTAATGTAAGAGAATATACCTTTTATGCTTGTTTTATGAAGAGCTGTACTTGTTACTGGAGCGGAAATTATCATATCCGTGATCATTAACTTTGAACTTTAAACAGGATTGCCTTTCCTCCAGGGACAACAGATCTTTGGATTGGCACCAGCAACACAAGCATGACTGTTAAAATAAAAGGAATAAAACATTTTACCTCATTTTGTTCTGCACATGTGGCAAAATGCACTGAAACACTGCCCTTCTTCAGCAGTACAGTAGGAAATGGCAAGTGTGCAAGCTACAATTTTGGGATTACAGCGCAAGCAAAGAAACAAAGTTAACCTTTGCGTTGCTCAAATGGCCACTAACTTCTGGGATGTGCCATTAGCAACCTGAGCGCTGGAGGGCAGGAAGAGTTACATGGAGTTATATATAATAATGGCTGCACACATACTGCTTCAACTCTGGTCTGCAATTCTAAAAGCATCTGAAAATATTAGACTTCTTGTCCTTTCTCTGATGATCTTTCTTGGAAAAAATGTCTGCGCAGTAATCTATACTTTCTAAGCAAGATGATGCTATTTAGTTGATTTTTTTGAGGGGTGTGGGGGGGAAAGAACTAGGAGAATGGTGAAAATGTACATACAGTTCATACATTTACTAGATGTAAATGTATGAACAGACCTTTTGCTGATGCTACTGACTGGCCTTTGGGTGCTGGAAGTCCATCTGGGATCCCACACACCCACTTGTTTCCACGCTCAGGATGCTAGAGATCGCTTACGTTATCTCAGCTCCAGTGACTCTTTCAGGGAGCTGGCAAAGTAGACAGGGAAGACGAGACCGACATTAAAGCCTCTGCAATGTGCTGTCACAATTATGTGGGAAATACCCTAACACTACTAGATGTAGAGCTGACTGACTTCTGATGGAAAGATATAGCCAGTAAGAAATTTACAGAGCCAGGCAATTAGCCTAGCAGTGGCCAACGGTTAAATGCTTGGCAAGAAAAGAAAAATCTAAGAATTTGTGGTAGGCAATGTAAGAACCCAAATACAGTGTCTGAAGACAGTAAGGGGCCACAAAAAAGCCCAAATCTGGACGTTTTCCGAGCAGGCATGAAGGCTGAGGACTGATGGGCTGCAATCCACATGCGATCCAGAGCCTCAGATCCTGCGTGGAGAATTAGTGCCCAGGACTATTCACTCAAACCGAGGCAAAACTACAAACAGGTCTGTCTCATAAAATGTTGGCATTGGAAAGGGACGAGTGGATCCTTGCACCCTCTGCCTTACGTAACTTGCCTACTGATTTGAGCGCTCAGTCAGGATGGGGGGAACCCGGGGTCAGCGCCCTCCCCATTGGGTTGCAGAGGATATGGCTACGTGAATCTCTGCAGCGCAGTCTGAGTCTGCTTTGTCAGTGCTCTCGAAGTGGCTGGGTGCCAGCTCCAGTCAGGAAGTGATGTAGCACTGATTAGCATGGTGCCGAGAGGGTTTATTGTACACTCCTCTCTTTTGCTTTCTCTTTTTGTCCCTATGAACCCTTAATTCCTTTCTGTGCAGCTTCAGCAGGAGAGGGAGAGAACACCTACCATGACCCAGTTAAAATTTTAAGTAAAATTTAATGACCATTTAAAACACTTTGTGCATGTTAAGGAATGAATTTTACTGCTGACATCACCTTTTAACCAGAGGAGCAGCTCCCAGCAGCCTCTTACCTTAAAGCAGTTTTGGAATCTTTTGCTCACCAAATACAGAGCTATCGGATTGATGCAGGAATTCAGTGAAGCCATGTTAATACCAATGTAGTCCATCACAAGAAAAAAGCTGTGTGGAAATTAAAGAAAGTGAGACACTTCTCATTTTCTCTGAAAACGCTTAGTAGAGGTTGACAGCTATGAAAATTGGACTCAGCTTCATTCATCCAAGACTAACCATTAAATGTAATATTAAAGGGGCTTATATCAACAGGATTAACTCGTGGAGGTAACAATTGTGCTCAATAATAGTCTGAATCAGTAGACCATTCTCATGAAAGTAATTTCAGAAGATCCAACCACCTTAACTTGTGGGAGGAAACGTTCACGAGGTTTTCTTCACAGATTTAATCCTAGCTGTTCTGTTGAAAGGGAAAACGGGGACAGAAATTCCCCCTCGGCCCTCATAACGCCGTAAGACAGTAGGACAGTCCCAAAAGGGATCAGGAGAAGACAGGCAAACAGGACAGAAGCCCAGTGTTCATGGGATTCCTCATAATTTCCTGACTCTGCTACTGGGAGTGAAACCAGAGTGTCCTGGATGAAGAAGCAGAGAGAACTTCAGACACACAGAGTAAGCTAGTTCATTAGGAAATCCAAATATGCTCACGGAGAATGTCAGTAGCGCACAGGCGTTTTATTTTTACAGTCTCACCTTAAAAGTTCACATCTGTTGGGGTCCTTCTGATCATAAATAGTGAGCTTCAATATTCTGCTTAAGTGGAGTGGTAGCCAACACAAGGCAAAAACAAGTACCAGACAGAACACGGTTTTGGCCACCTCACGTCTCTGAAAAAGAAAATTGGACAGAACAGTGTTATAGTTTCTCTCTGTCTCTCGATTGTTGTTGTCTTCTAACATCCAAATGTTTCATAAACAAAATAAAACCCCTATCAAAATAGGAGTTAGGAGAACATCATAATACCTTATTTTCTTGGAATATGTACTTAATCTTTTCTATTGCTTTAGATGTCTTGCACTGATTCTCTGTATCTCTAATTTTAAAAAGTATGAGCAATAAAATGAAAAAAATCAAGGACATAAAAACAGTCATTTAAATTAAAATGAAGAACATATTTGTCTCCCCAGTCACTTTCAAATACCAGCTTATTTTCAATTGTATTTTCCTGTGCTTTGATCTCAGGTCTTCTTTTAAATGCCCCAAGAGATTTCAATTACAGCTTTATCAAGGTAAGAGGAAAGGAGCACAAATATACTTTATAGTACAAATGTAATTTAATTCTAGTGACGTATGATGTTTGTCTCTGGTGCACTACTAACCTGGAATGTATTTTGGAATGTGTTTTGTTCTGCTAACATATACTGCTAACCTTACTATACTTCAGCATGAAATTGATTCAAAATAATCAACAAATTTCCAGCACCAGCTTCTACATTACAGCACGACCTCAGTTTTCATTACAAAATATCCATCTCTCATTCTTCTACAGAAGAAAGAAAAACTATAAAACCTGAAGGATTAACACCAAACAAGAAAAAAAGAAGTTTTGTGATTGTCAGTGAAAATCTTAGGTTTCTGAGGGATCTGATATCTATATCTATATCTCTATATCTGTACGAGTTCAGCAGCACCACTGTTAGGAAACTGTCAGTGAAATTAGGTTTCTGAGGGATCTGATATCTATATCTATATCTCTATATCTGTACGAGTTCAGCAGCACCAGTTAGGAAACTTCTCTTTAGTAGTAATCTTGAAGTCATTATACAAGAACACAATAATGACGTGGTAGTAAAGGTATTATTGTCATCCTCTCTACAGTCAGCAGAGTTGTTCAGCAGCACCACTGTTAGGAAACTTCTCTTTAGTAGTAATCTTGAAGTCATTATACAAGAACAGAATAATGACGTGGTAGTAAAGGTATTATTGTCATCCTCTCTACAGTCAGCAGAGTTGTCAGGGATAAATTTTTACCTGTTTTAAGTGGTCATTTAAAGCAATCTGCATCCCACTTTTCTTTCGTAACATCTCACAGGTCATGAGAGTATAGAAGAATGCTGTGATAGCCAGTGGCAAACAGAAGTAAAAGCTAAACAGCCACCAGTCTTTAGCTTGCTTGTAAAACTAGAAGGAAAACAAAAGTAAAAACATTGTTAGGAGTTGAATGTTGGAAACTATGCTATAACTGTCCTGAAAAGCATCTCTTTAAGGCATACATTACAAATGAGAAAACGGGACGAGATAATAATATGCCCAAAGCCCACAAAAAGACAAAAGTTTCTGAATGCTCTTTTTTTAACCGATATACCTCAGGAATTTGTCAGCATTTCATCTGAACATTATATTCACCTACATTTCACATACACTTGTGCACATTAGAATCCACACAACACTGAGAAGATCCATGGAACTGTTCCGGAGAGCTGTGCTTTTATAAACGTCAGTGTCTTACCATCATAAAGGATGTTTTCTGCGTGGGGTGAAGCAGGCATATTCTAAGATCCTTTCCTCTGTACTCCATCATAATCATGTCAAATGCGATAGCTTCTGGAACAGCCAATATCACTGATATAACCCAGATCAGTACAATTTCAACAGCAGTCCACTTTGGCACTCCAATTCCTTTAATGCGACTCCAAGAAGCAACTGCTCGATACCTGAAGCAACACACATATGCGAATTAAAAATATAAGAAAACCCACCCGGTTTAACTGGCTTACACTCAGCTTATTCATATGATATCAGCTGAGTGGAAAGGTGAATTTGAACCAATGCCCGTATTTAAAAGAAATTACAGAGTTTGATGAAAAAATGGGTCTCACCTATCTATACTGAGGGCACACAAACTCAACACTGTGATGCCCACCGATGCCTTTTGAATGAAGGGTACTAATTTGCACATTTCGACACCAAAGGGCCAGTCCTCTGCAAGCAGCTGTGAAAAGAAAACAATTAGAAATTAATCATTTTTTAAAAATAATTCCCATAGATGCAACATAGACTTTTCTTTTAATTGTTTTTCTTTTCCACCATGCAAAACTTAGTCAAGAAGAACTTGACTAAGGGAGTCTCCCAGGTGTGTGTCCTAAAAACTAGGTAGTAGCATCCCAGTCAGTCCCTGGCTGGGCAAGGATATATGCATAAAGGGTTAGTCCTGACTTCTCAAGCCCTACAAACTCCACTCATTTTGTTTCTAACTTCACAACCCCAGTGTTTATGGCAAAAAATGACTGAGCAGGTGAGGATTTCCCTCTTGTATTGGCTTTATCTGTCTTGAGCGTTCATTGCTTTTCTTATATGTTCCAACTAACTCTCGATTTACTAGAAATAAAGAAAATAACTTGAGGCTGATCAGAACAGGGACAAAGCTAACAAATGCACATCTGGGGTGGGGTTTATTTGAAGCTTGGTGTCTAGGCTCCATCAGCTGAGAAGTCAGGCAACACTGGAAAGCAATGTATCCCACAGGTTTTAGCTGATCATCTGGTAACGAAGGAAGGGACCACCGGACGCTCCTAAACAGCTAGTTTGAACTAATTGTTTTGTAGCAGGTAAAGACAGATCAGATAAATCCCACACTGAAGATCTTTATTGACCAGTTTTCCAACGATTCTGTATTACAATACCAAAAAGACTATCTGCACATTCGGCATACCTGTTTGTGCTACAGAACAAAGAAAACAGCACAATGAATTTTAAGTTGGTTCAATTGCACTTCGGGTCATACACTTTAATGGAAATCTTCTGTCACATTCCCAGCGGTACGTTTTAGCTGATTTAGGGGAGAGACTTACTGGACACAGAAAGCACCTTCTTCACAGCTGATGCTATGAACTGTTTACCTGTAGCTTTAGTTTAGAAACATTTAATCTCTGTACTCTGCTGTGAGCTGCTCTGATGGCTCAAATACACCACAGCAGCAGCCAAATCATCCAGTTCCTCACAAAAACAAGACTCTCCAGAACAGAGGTTATGCCAAGAAATAGTTGCAATCGTTATATACAAAAGTAAACTGTCTGAGTTTCTGTAATTAGTTACATTATCTAAGCCCATCTCTGTTTTTCATAACTTTCTTCAAATGAGGCCTTTTGGATCTGTTGCAGATAGAGGGCTACAAAATGGAAAAGGAGAGGAAAGAAGAATGGTAACTACCCAAAAGAGATTGCAAAATCTTTCCCTTGGTTCAGGTCTCCTCAGACATCTCATTTAACAGGGATGTAAGAAAAGAAGAAATAGATCACCATACTGTATAGATTCTGCTGGGGACCAAAATGATTGAAGATAGCCACGGAGTTGACTGCTCACGTTGGTTTGGTTCAGCAAAGTCCTTAAGCACACATACATGTGCATCTAAGGATAAACAGTTACGTGGTCCACAACAGTTTTTGAAAAGCCCTGATATAATTTAAGTATCATTTTAACACAAATGGAGTTAAGTACATTTCATGACCATGTGCTTTTGGAAATCCCTATGAAGTGCCCACCAGTATTTTCAGTATTTTCAGATACCAGAATACCTTCAAAAATCTGCTTTAGTCCTGTGCTGAAATGGGATCTTTAAAAGAACAGCAGTAGGAAAACTGTAACATGGCCCAGCTTTGATCTATTTCTTCAATGTCTACTTAAGTAAGACAAAAAGTATAATGCTCCTGCAGAAATGAAGCAGAAAAATAAATTCTAAGGATTTATGTTTCTTGAGAATTTTATGGAAAGTAATAAAGCAGAGGAAGTAGGGACGAGGTTGTAATAACCATACGGTACCTTCTGCTTATGTGATGCGGGAATATAACTCAGTCTGTAATTAAAGTATTTTCAGTAAAGCCTCTCCCTGAGACTTCTTTTGAAGTGCTGTTAAGGGGGTGATAGTTACAAACTACTATTAAAATTGCAATGTGAATAATTACAGGTGTTCTAAATGTACGCTCTAGATAATTAAATGACACCTGGACTAATTTAGTTTATATCAATCAGGCAGTGAACCTCCAGCCTACCACACCTAGTTGCTATAGAAGTCAAGGACTGGGTAGCAAGTACATTGTATACTTGTCTATAGTATCTATTGTATATTGTACATGTGTATATATTAAACCAGAGATGACTCATTAAAAAAGCACTTAAAAATTAATTTTTTTTTTTCTTCGTTGAACTAAAATTCAGAGCTTTGGTCAAATTTCTGTTGGCAGATTCTGTTCAAGACTTTAGCTACAACTAGCTGGTGTACGTGCAAGACACTCCCTGTCTCTCTTCCCTAAATCACAACGGTTCAGCCACATGTCGGAGATTTCCCTGAACTAATGCTTATCTCTCAGGTGCAGTCACACCTGTGCTCCAAGCTGACTGGATTTGAGCCAGCTCCAGTTTGGGACCCATATGGCTGGATTATATATAATGGCGCTGCACGGGAGCGAATGCGGTCTGCTGAGAGAAAGGGTGCATTAGCTTGGGTTTAGCATGACATCAAAATATTACTTGCATTCAGCCAGCTTAAATCAGGGGCAGAATGGACACACAGCTGTCTGCACTGGATTGGAAAAACACGTCCTTTATCTCTTGCAGCTGATATATTGTGAAATTTGAGCATTTTAATGCATGAGTCACAAATTTCTCTATCATGGTATTGCAAGTGGTTAATGACATGCTTTGCAGCAAAAGCTTGAAAACATTTAAGAGAGCAAAAGGAAAAAAGTAGAATGTTTTAATTGCTGATTGCTTAATTCCTTATTGTTTGTCTTCTGTCTTGCCATCTCCTCAAAACACTGCCTTAAAGTACAGTGAAAATCCACTGTGAAGTATTCAGGAGCATCATATTTGTGGACAAGAGCAATGATTATTCTTAGTGAAGTACAGATGTAGTCTAATGCAATTTTGTATGGGTGAAACAATTTTCTTATGATTCATAACAGGGTATCTGTACAAAGAGTGCCATTTTACAAATGACAAATGCTGCCACTTGGCAGCAAAGAGAAAAAATAATGTTGCATTTTCATCAGTAAAATGCCAAGAGAAGTCTACCACTGGCTGTATTCCGAGTGACCTTTTCCAATGTTTTATAGTCACTTATTTTACATGGGCAAAGTTTTAAGTGCTAAGCCACAGAAATGTGTGGAAGATGAAATGAAATGAAATAGAATGAAAGGAAAGGGAACACATTGCAGAATGAAGTGAAATCATACTTAAAAGAACCAATACATCTGATGCACTCCTAGCCAACGCTTTCTCAGACCAGACACAGATCTGAGCCTAAACTGATGTGAAAGCTGCACAGCTATGAAAGTAGCCCCAAGAGATGTTGTGACTCAGAGACACACCTGTGAGTTACAATTCCTGCTCTGCTTCCTCTTGGTTGTGTAGGAACAAAAAGATGTTCCTAATACGCTGCTGGAATACGCCAGCATGCGAGCACGATACGCTGCTCTTGATGGCTCAGCTGCTGTGGCCACCAGCCAGAAGGCTGATGCCACGGCTCCAACCCACTACTGTTGACTTTCTGCAGTCAGGCACGAAGAAGTAGCGAAGCGTGCACTTACTTACATCAGTGTCCTAGTCCTGAGCAATGAATGCACACGGAAACACAGAGCAGGAATTCGTACCTCCTCCTAGCTGTGCGTTCACAGCAAGTCTAGTTCACAGGATGATAGGACTCAATTTTCATAATTATGAATTGCAGAGTTAGTTACAGAGGAAATCAGACATGCAACTGTACACCTAATTCACAAGCAACATTTTTTCAATATATCTGTGAAATGACTGGCAGATTTTCACCTGATACTTCTGAGACGGGGAGGTCATGCAGATAAAGTATTTTTTGGCATTTCATAGGAGCACGCAGTTTTCAAAACAGGAAATTTGCCCAGGAAATTAAGCTTATGGTCAGGGATAAGTCAGACAACATTACATAACTTATTAATATTTAATATTAATTATGATGTCAGGGTGGGGATCTTCCCTCTAGACAAGAAAATATATTTCCCGCTTCCTAGTTAAGCTAAGAATGTTTTACGGGTCTATCCAATAAACAGTGTAAATCTTAATACGAGGCATGCAATTAGTTTCTTTTCCTGTTTTAGTAACTTCTGCTTAGAAACCGCGTTTTTTTTAAAAATACTTAATTAAGATAAAGTAATATCATATACACATCTTGAAAATGACAGAAACCCCATAATGTGTTCTCAAAATAAAAAATTTCTGCAATTTCACAATCCCAGTGAAAGGACTGCATCAAAAGAAAGCCATGCTGCTGTCAGATTGGGAAGCATAAAGACAGGGTAGAAGAAAAAAAACAAATAAAACTTGTTTTGAAATTTGTCACATGCATCTTTTAAGTGAATGCATACATAACAAATGTATACATAATGAAAAAACGACTCTAAACTTACAAATCTATACTGACATCATCTAACGTATTTCAGTTGGGAGATCTATCATGAAAACTATGCACGCGTACTTTTAACAACATACAGACATTTCCACTACCTCACATATTGGACTTCAGAGTAGATTGTTCCCATCTAACTGCAGAACAAAGTTACCCCCCATTGCCTGTAGAGTCTAAAGAGGTCCCTCCACTGGATAGTTCAGATCTTTCTTAAGTGCCTATAAGCTGCATTTGTTGACCATAAAGGGTTCCTAAGTGAAAAAGACTTCTAGCTTAATATGGTCAGAGATCAATAAACGTTGTGTAAGAAATTCTGAGACGAGCTTTGCAAGACCTCAAGTCAGTGGTTCAGATGTTGAAAGAAAGGAAATGATGCGTATCTTCCAATAAAATGGCTGTTATCTTTAACATCAGAAGAACCAGTGGCCAAGAGTTGTAATATGGAGTAGTAACAATGTTTTCTAAAGACAAGCACCTTGGCTTTTTTGGAAAGTTAGGAAAAGATTGGCTTTATCATGATGCATGCCGTATAGGTACTTGGATTAAAGAGTTAGTAAAGTCATCACAAAGACATTTCCATGGAAATCCTGCCTTTTTTAGAGCACAGCTGAATTAACAAGGGGGCCAGTTTGCGTCTGCAGTCCCTCATCTGGTCTTTCTATTATTTCCAGTGCTTGATAATTCTATATAATGTTAACTGCATTTTTTTATGTAATCCCTAAAATACATCACTGAAAAAAAATCATTGCCTACAAAGCTGACTTTGGCCTTTGATCATTGGCTTGGATAAAGACCAGTTTTTGTTCCTTCCCTGGAAATTTTTGACTCTGCTCTTCCATTGTGCTCTGAGATAGAAGAACCTGTGACAGTATTTCCAGGTAGATATTCTTCCTCAGTCATTTGTGTCATAGCAAATTGATAGTCAGAGTTCAGAAAGCCACACAAGAGCGTGCAGAGCATAGGTTGTTCCCCCTGTTAAAAATCCATTGCAACATGACAGTAAACTGGATTTAATGTAAGAGAATAAATTACAAAATGAGAGAGAGAGATGTAGTCTATATATCAGAAGAGAAAGCATGTTATTATATTATTTGATTATGGCTTTTTTAAGTCTATATTCCTATCTCATTACACATACATGCATGAGAGGCAGAGCTAATGTAAGTTTGGAATTTCCAATCCTGATGTTGTTTTGGTGTCTTACACGCGGGAGTTACCAACTTTATCGATTTGGGAAACTAAGCATAAGCCTTCCAGAACTGCAGACCTGTATTGTCAGGTGTACAAGCTGCCACTGTCTGGTCTTCCAAAGATTAAGTGCAGAGAAGGACACAAAAAGCTCACTGACTACCTACTCTATCCTTCTGCTCCTTATGTTCACACCTTTAATTGCTGTTTGCGGCCTCAAATTAACAAAGATATGCTTACTTTGTTTAGTGAAGCAGTTGACCAGGCATAGGACCACCTTCACATCCCATTAGTAGCAATTTTGCAAAGTATCTACACTGCCACAACGTTATGTACTGCAGAATGATTGTCTCAGACTTTTCTCTACTTCCCATTCTGCAGTTCTGGGGGTACGGCCAAAGCCAGATTGTTTACCAGGACCCTGAACGCCAAAAAGGTCTTCCAGGTTCCGCATGCTGGAACTGAACGCCCCTCAAGCCCTCATTGCATACCCAGTTTCCTGACTATGTGACAGATTCCAATACTTTCCATTTTTCTACTGAATGTATTGATCAATATTCAAATTTGTCAAGTGCGATGGACTAATGAGGATCCTACACATTGGACTGCATTTGCCTCACAATCTAGGCAACACCTGCTTTTCTTTAGATACCCTCAATTTAAAAGATGCAAATTTTCATTTGCGTATTTTTTCAGCTACTTAACATATTCACTTAACTTAAATAGTCACAGGGGACATCTTTTGCAGTTATCACTTTTAATACCTAACAAAATGCTGCTCCTAGTGCGAATTCTGAGTTCTCTCTTATGGGTCTGTCTAGAAAGCATTCACAGACACTTTCACACTTTCTACTGCAAGTGTTGTTGAGTAAACTGCTGGCATTTTATTAACATGAGAAATTCTCTCACATTCTTTTTCACGCAGCTGTCTAACTGAGGATCTGGTAGCAATTCTGAAGATCCATTTCATCCAGTTTAAAATTGTTTCAAAATGCAAGTTACAACTGTTTTAAGTATACTTGATTTACAAACCAAGCCTTTGCTAGCTTTTGTTTTTCCCATACTGCTGGGTGATTATAGCCAGCTTTTGATTGCATTCTCCCTCATAACGTTGCTCTGCAGGTGAAATTAAATGGGATGAAAAGTTATCATCAACTCAAACCTTACTCAAACTCTTAATTTTGATTAAATAAACACAATGTCTAATGTTTGGGGGTTTTAACTCACATTTATTCAAAAGTCCTGTTTTTATAAAACAGCAAATATTGCAGTCATTATTGTAAGGGATAATAAAAATTTATTATGGGCTCTTCATTAAGATGAGCAGCAGCGTGGGAGATTTAGCACCTGAGAGCTATTGCTTAGCTTCTAGCATTATCAATAGCACAATAAAAATCCTGGACCTGCAGCTGGTATAGTATTTATCGGTTTGCAATCTGACCTTTTATTCCTCCTGCTCCAACCTACTCATAATGATATACTTGATGACATTCAATCAAGATAAGGACTGCCGTATATTATTGCATGTTATCATTAAATTAATTTTGCAGTAAGTGTCACTGAGATTGCAAAGTCTTGTACTGAGCAGCTGTTATTGATTTAATTTTTTTTATTTTTTCTGAGAACAGATAAAAAAATCTTTTTGTTCAATATCTTTTTTTACAAAAATACAGTTTTTTCAAAACAGCTTGAAGTATTTTGTTTCATAAACTCCACTCTCACTCACAAGAGTACACGCCTCTCACAAGAACTACGATAAATGTATAGCATGGAAAATACTGAAATTCCAAATCAAAGAACTCTCGTGTAATCCAAATTATCCGGCTCATGAATTTAACACTGTTATGATGTTACCTGTTTTGTAATACTTCCAATACTTTAAAAGGATAAAGGCACATGATTCTCCCACTTCAGCAGTTTCTGGGAGTAATCACTACAGATACAGAAGACTAAATTCAAAACCCGTCCCTTCACCATGGTTTTCGAAAGCTAAAAGTAACAAACCCCAGACTTTACAAACATGCATACGAAGTGAGGAGAAGGAATAGATGAAGGCTCTCATGTTCACTTTATGCAGTAAGTGATTGGTGCTCAGGGACCCAGACTGTAAACTCTCAAGGCGGAAGATGCCTTGTCATTTCCAGCATCCCTCCCAAGAGTGATCGTAACTAGAGGCTGGATTCAACCGCCCAATGAATTCCTAAGGACAAATGGACCACGCAAGCTGGGTAGAGGAGACAGAGGTTGTACTCCTTCCGTGGCAAGTCTTATCACGTCAAAGGGCAGAGTAAAGAAGGTGCAAGAGTAGCAGGTGTGGCTCACTCCCTGTCAGCTGCCCATGCTGCAACGCTGGCCAACGGGGGAAAGGGTTCACGGCTCAGGAAAGCATCGTGCCTCTCAACCGCCAGACGCATAAAACTAATACAAATCGCTCAGTTTGAATGACCTTGGTTCCTCCTGAAAAAGTCCCCATGCCACCAGCGACTGTACGGACCCACGGGAAGTATATGACTAAGCCTGCCCCAGCTGCGCAGGAGGGACCGCGTGGTACCCACCCCACCGGAGAGGGTCTTCTGTGCCTCCCCCTCCATTCCTCGGGGGAAGGGAGGGAAGCCATGAACCCATTGCGCATTTATCCACTGCAGTTATTTCCTTTATCCCTAGGACAGCACCTGTTTCCAGGTGACTTTCAGAGCCTGGCCACCTCCAGCCGCACACCTCTGCCCCATTCCCAGCCCGGACCGGTGAAAGGGTTGGGACTGGGGCACAGAGGGGGTGCCATGTGGGACAACAAGGACAACATCTGACCAGAATACCACCTTCCGGCAGGTTTTTGGCATGCTGTCTCCCAGCCAGAAGCGGGGCGCGTTTCCCCCCGGCAGCCACGGAGGTGCCGGGTGCCCGCCGGGGGCCGGCGAGGAGCCCCGAGGAGAGCCCGCCGCACCCCCGCGCCCGTCCCCGGACCCATCCCCGGCTCCCCCTCACCTTGTAGACGTTGATGGGGATGTCGATGATGATGTGAAGCAGGTCGCCCAGGGCCAGGCTGGCGATGAGGATGTTGGGGCCATTCCTCATGCACTTGTTCTTGTAGATGATCCGCAGCAGCGTGGAGTTGCCGATGATGCCCAGGACGAAGACGAGGCAGGACACCACCGTGTTGATGTACTTGAAAGTCTCCTTGATCTCCGTTTGCCCCGTGCACATGGGGGGCGAGGC